AGCAAGTTTGTCCAGCGCGAGCTGGCCTCGCTCCCAGCGTTGAATAAACAAACACCTTGCTGCTTAAAGACAAAAAAAAGGTCTCTGAGCAGTTTCTCGGGCCGATTGTTTGAATTCAGTGTCCCGACTTACTTGAGAGGTCCCGTCCGACTCCGAGGGCCAGCCCGTCCTTGATCCAGAGCACGATGCCATTGTACTCGGGGATGGCACAGAGCAGGGTCACGGGCTGCCCAGCGACCACCACCTGGTCCTGGGGCTGCTGCGTGAACGACGACGCTTGGCCTGGGGAGGGCAAGGAGAGAGGGAGAGGAGCTGTCAGTGCTCCAGGGGTTTGCAACACAGGGCAGCAGTTCCTTGGATGCCACGGCCAAAGATGCTCCTGGCACAGCACAAACCGGAGCTCTGCGGCTCTTAATTATGGGATTGATTAGTTGTGGGATTGTTCCAGAGAATGGTTTGTGTGGGAAGGGACCTCAAAGCTTGTCTTATCCCACCCTCTCCTGCCATGGGCAGGGACACCTCTCACCAGCCCAGGTTGCTCCAACCTGGCCTTGGACATTTCCAGGGATGGGGCAGCCACAGCTTCTCTGGGCAACCTGTGCCAGGGCCTCCCCACCCTCACAGGGAACAATTCCTTCCCAATATCCCATCTAACACTGCCCCCTGGCAGTGGGAAGCCATTCCCCCTTGTCCTGTCCCTCCATCCCTTGTCCCAAGTCCCTCTCCAGCTCTCCTGGAGCCCCTTTAGGCACTGGAAGGAGCTCTAAGGTCTCCTCAGAGCCTTTTCCTCTCCAGGTGAACCCTCCCAGCTCTCCCAGCCTGGCTCCAGAGCAGAGGGGCTCCAGCCTTTGGAGCATCTCTGTGGCCTCCTCTGGACTTGCTCCGACAGGTCCACATCCTTTTTATGTTCCCAGTGCTGGACACAGCATTTATTTCCCCTGTCACACACTCAGACAACCATTTGCAATGTTCTCCCTCCCTTTGTAAAAAAACAAATATCACAGCAAAGGGGCACCAGGTATTTCCTCCAGGTACTTCATCCCAAATT